TCGGGAAGCGCGAGTTCGTTTGCTTTAAAGCGAACTGTCCGAGATCAGGAAGTGAGCCCTATAGTGCGCGATACCGTGAATGATTCTTTTTATATCGATGATTTGCTCGCGTCTGCTAAGACCAAAGATGAATCTTTCGAGATAATTCGTGGCACAAAGGAAGCTGTAGCATTTGGTGGTTTTAATCTAACCAAATTTGTCTTCAGTGATGAGGAACTTTATTGTGCTGTGAATGAGAATGATCGAGCGAAAGAAGTGAGAGAACTCACACCGAATGTGTATACAAAAGCACTGGGTATCAAGTGGAATGTTATGAGTGATACCTTTTACTACGAGTTTGCTTTCAAAAGCAGTGACAAAGTCACGAGGCGCGTGATGTTGAGCATGGTTGCTTCTGTATATGACCCACTAGGTCTGTTGTCACCTGTGGTCATTCAAGGGAAACGTATTTTCCAAGATTCTACGCGTTTGAAATTGAGTTGGGATGAGCCTGTGCCTAGAATGATTGAGAATAAATGGGTGGCATGGGTGAACTCTTTGGAAAATGTCAGGAATATTCAGTTCCCTAGAGTGGTGATTCCTGAGAAAATGTGTGACGGTGTGTCTGAATTGCACATATTTTGTGATGCTAGTAGTGCGGCTTACGGAGCATGCGCTTATCTCCGCACTGTCAGTCCTCGCGGTGAAATTTTCGTGACCCTGCTTTTTGCTCGAGGCCGGTTAGCACCCTTGAAAAGTGTCACCATTCCTCGCTTAGAGTTGACTGCTTGTGTCACGGCAGTAGAAGTTGACATTATGATTAGAAAAGAAATCAATGTTCTGCTTTCAGCAACTACATTTTGGACTGATAGCAAAATTGCACTAGCATACATTTCAAATGATATAAAGCGATTCAAAACATTTATTTCAAACCGGGTCTCTTTCATAAGAGAAAACACAAATGTGTGTCAGTGGAAGCATGTTCATGGCAAGTCAAATCCGGCTGACGTTTTATCTCGCGGATGTCAATCAAATGAGTTGTCTCAGAATTGGTTTACCGGAGCGAAATTTCTGTCTAAATACAAAAGCGAATGGCCAAGAGAGGAGACGGATTTTTTGGAATGTTCGAGTGATCTCGAGATCATTTCGAGCAATGTCGTGAATGTTTTCAATCCGAGTGAAGAGAGTACTTCTCCTTTAGAAATGCTATGGAATTTTTATTCTAGCTTTTACAAGCTGTGCAAAGCAGTTGCGTGGTTGCTGAGATTTAAGAAATTTCTCCGCTCAAAGACGCTAGACAAAGGGCATATTACTGCGACTGAACTAAAAATCGCGGAAGATGAAATTATCAAGGCGGTACAAAGAGACAGTTTTTCTCACGAGTTAAAGTCTCTAAAAAAAACAGGCCAAGTTTCGAAATCAAGTAAAATTCACGATCTTTCTCCCATCCTTCAGAATGACACACTAGTTGTCGGTGGTAGACTAATTCATTCTGCACTGAAGTGTAAGCAACCATCGATTTTACCTAGAAAGCATGTTGTTTCCAACTTGATTGCTCGAGAAGCGCATGAAAGTGCACATTTAGGTACGGAATGGACTCTAAGTGTGATACGAAGAAAATTTTGGATAGTGGGTGGTAGAAACTTGGTGAGAAAGATACAAAGAGAGTGTGTTGTATGTAGGCGTTTGTATGCGTCGCCAATGATTCAAAAAATGGCTGATTTGCCCGGTGATAGGTGTTCTGGAGGAGGTCCCCCCTTTGATGTAGTTGGAATCGATATTTTTGGACCTCTCAAAGTCAGGGTAGGTCGCTCAGAAGTTAAACGCTACGGATGCGTTTTCACGTGTTTTAAAACAAGAGCGATTCACTTGGAGGTGTTAGAAAATTTAGAAACAAGCGCATTTCTCAACGGTTTCATACGATTCGTATCGAGACGCGGTTGTCCCACAAAAGTTTACAGTGATAACGGCACAAACTTGGTAGGGGCGGTGAATGAAATGAACAAATGTTTACGGCAGTTAGACAAAGTCAAGATCATGTCTGAAATGAGACGAAAGGGAATTGATTGGATTTTTAATCCACCACACGCTTCTCATTATGGTGGTGTATGGGAGAGAATGATTCGGACAATAAGAAAAATTTTGATGGCTGTGCTGGCAAACTGTGCTAGGTCTTTAACCGATTGGTCTTTGCAGACTGTATTGTGCGAATGTGAGTGTATAGTAAATGGAAGACCCATTACTAAAATCAGTGAGAATGTGAATGATTGTGATGCGCTCACACCAAATCATTTGTTAGCAAT